TTTTGTTTGTTTTTTTCCTTCAAAATTTAAAGTAATCGTTGGTCATCTGTAGAGAAACCTGCTCTCTGATCTGTGAAAAGAATGCTGTGTTGTGTGATTTTACTGCGAGACCCTCTGGTCAAAGCCACAGACTCATTTTGTGTCAGCTCCATTTAAAGTGGAAGGAGGCGCCCACTAGAGGTTGGAGGGTGAAGTGTTTCAGTGTCAAATGCTGCTCTGTTGCTGTTCGTTTATTAAGTGAGACTGGAAACTGTTAAGAGTTAACAACATGTTGTTTTGTTTAAAACATATGACTAAAACTACATTTGAGATCTTTTGCACTGTTTTGCACAACAAGAAAGAAGCCTAATACTTGATTTGTTTATTATTTAAAAACTCTGGACCTAGTAGTGGAATTTTCTTAATTCAAAACATATGATGGCAAAAGGACACCCTATGCTTTTTTTTTAAAGTTAGTTTTATACCAAAAAACATATTGCGATATATATCGTTATCGCCACCCTTCACAATACATATCGTGATTTGAATTTTATGCCATATCGCACATTCCTGCTAACAACAGTAGCAGGAATAGAGAGGTAACACTGTTAGTTTTGCAGTGTGGCTGTATTTGGCCTCATTACTCACAACCTCTTCTTGGACCTGCTCACACCTGTCCATGGATAAGTTCAAAAAGTTAAGTCATCACAGATTCTTAGCTGGAGGTGATCTCTGGTGGATTTCCCTGACGAGGAAGAAGACTCAGCTCCTATCTCTGTCCCAGACTGGAAATAAAACACAAAGAGGTAAAAAAAAAAAAGAGTTACATAAGATTATAACAAAAATTATAATACAAAAAAAAATTAATTAGCTCACAATAATACAATAAGCAATACCTCTTCTTGAACGGTCATCATTTGTTATGAGGTTGTTGAATCTCTCCATCATCATCATCATCATCAGGTGACAGAGCTTTAATCTGGTCCAGGGCTTGTTGACAATATCAGTTTTAGCTTTTTCATAAAGTGCTGCTACAACTTTTTGGCTGAAGTGTTGACATGATGGGATGTCATAGCGGGGCTCAAGAACTTTAAAGCCGGCACATCGACAACAGAAACGTAGATCCGGGGCTTTAAAATCTCCTACAGC